CGCACAGCACCGCTCAGTCTCTCTCAGCCCCGCACAGCCCAGCACAGCCCCTCTCAGCCCCTCTCAGCCCCGCACATCCCCTCTCAGCCCCTCTCATCCCCTCTCAGCCCCGCTCAGCCCCGCTCAGCCCCTCTCAGCCCTCTCAGCCCCGCTCAGCCCCGCTCAGCCCCGCTCAGCCCCGCTCAGCCCCGCTCAGCCGGGCGGAGGGCCCGGGGGGGTCCCCAGCTCCAGGTATTGTTTTGCAAACAGAGGGGGTCATAGATGACAGCGCAGACACAACAAGGCGGCTTGGCCGCGAGTGTTTGTTGTCGCAGCGTGCCATATAACTTCTGGTGATTGTTACTTTTCCTCTGATGAAACCACGTATTTATAAGTGATTTATTTTTTATTTTGTAGCACAAACAGAAATCCATAAACTGTCGGTTCAGCGCCATTGACTCTTTGATCAGTTACTGGGCTATTTTTTTTTTTCCTCTCCCGTCAGCGAGGAGAGATTAAAAGCCTTTATTTTCAGCCCTTTTTCTGCTGCAAAGGTACGAGCCGAAATGGACAATAAAAGTGCACTTCAAATGCATCCTCTTTGCTCCTTTATTCGGCGCTAACGAAACTTATAGCTGCCTATGTCAGCCTCTTAATTACACCACTACAGCGGTTTCCGAAAACATTTAGCTGCTGTATACAAAGGAAATAAACCCACATTGTCAACTCGAGAGCGCTCCGGAGTTTAAAAGGCTGCTCTGTAACCCAGCGAAATAATTATTGAAGGGTACGACGCCTCCGTCTTTGTCAGAGTAATTGTACTTGGCCTGTCAGCTCTGCTTTTCTCCGGGAGGAAATCCCACTATTTGTTACTCCTGGAGGATTTTACAGCCAGAAGTAGAAAGTTTCTGCGGGGCGATAGCGCGGCCAATGCGCGCAGCTTGCGCGGGGCCCGGCCTGACCCGGGGGACTCTCCTGCCGCTGCCTCGGGGGCTGCAAAGTTCCCAAAAATAAATGGATGTGATGCTGGCCTCGGCAGAACAGGCAGCGGTGTTACAGCCCGGCACATTGGGGGAATGGTTTTAATTTCCATCGCTGGGATCTCATTTCCAGAACGCTGGAAATTATTCCCCGTTCTCACCTTCCTTCCTGTTCCCCTCAAAAAAATTTTAGTAAATAGTAATTAAAGATAATAATAATAATAATAAAAAAGTCGTGAAATGTCTCTCCGGGAAAAAAAAAATCAAAAATAATAAAAAAAATAAATAAAGTTGATTAAATCCCAAGCTCTGTGTCTGTAATTGCTGCGGTGCAACGCTGATAACGTGTAGTTATCATCGGAAAAGTTGACCAAGACAGGTTAAATAATTTAATAAGCAACTGCTTGTAATTATGCTATTTACAAGGTATGACAGAGGTTTGAGGAAGAAACAGAAGCTGATCTCAGGGAAATGGACGGGTTTGGGTGACCCCTGGAGCATGGAGTTTGAATTATGGAGATGGGGGGCTGAGAGGTGAATATGGACTAGAGGAGAACAAGATGACTTTTCACCTCAGCACATTTAACTTTTAAATCCAAATAAACGTCTCGCGTTACTGGATGGTTGCGTTATAAAAGAAAAAAGGACTAATCCCGGCCAGTTTTGGAGTGTGAGGAAGGGGCTGCCCTTTCCTCACCGAGGAAAAACATCGCCAAAAAATAATAAAAAAAAAAAAAAATACAAAAAGTTACAGAGGGGGGGAAAAAGTGCATTTAAAAATAAATCTGAGTAACTCGGTGGGATTTTTTTTTTCTTCCCTTCCCTTTTTCCCTCACTAAATTAATTATATCAAACATCTGTTCCCATGACGTTGTCCTCGATGCCACACACACCACTGAATGATCTCAACGCTGCCTCGAAGAACAACAACACACCTTTTTGGCTTTCCCAAATATCCTCCGGTAAAATCGGGATCTCACTCAGCAGCTCCCTGATTTACTGGCTCAGAACAATTAAAAGTAGGCGCGCTCCGGAGGATTGCTCGCCCCCCGCATTTCCGAGCAAGGACAAAATACAAACTTAGGAAGTCGCGTGGTAAGAAAAGCGTAAAGTTTCTCACCTGTTTGGTCATGGAGTCTATTAGCCGAACGTACAGGTCCTGCTCTGTCCTAACTCCTGCGGAGGGAAAGCAGAGCCACGTTCCCATCAGGATTTCGGGAGAGAACCCCCCCAGTCCCACAAGGAAAGGATGAGGTCAGGCAATTAACCGCAGCGGGCAGGGCTCGGCCCCGCGCCGGCTGCAGGAGAAAAATCCCCATTTTTTATTATTTTTAAAATTTTTTTATATAAAATAAATCAATTAATTAAAAATTAATAATGTTAAAAATTAGCCGGGAATCAGTGACGGAGTTCTGTTGAGCCCCCCCCCGGGGAACTCGCGGGGACCGCGGGCGCTGAGCGAAACCCCCGCGGCTTTTCCGCGGCCGAGGAAGCGGCTCCGCCGGGCAGCGGCTCCGCTCTGCCCGCTCACCCCATCCCAATAATCACCAACAATTCCCAAAACTGGAAAAAAAAAATAAAAAAAAAAAGTCCCTTAAAAGTGCCGCTATGCCCGAGCAGCCATCGATCCCCTTTTTTACTTTCCACTTCAAGCCCAACCGGTTAATCATGTGAAGTACCATTGACTTATCGATCCTTTATGTTTTGTTTTCCTTATATGCCAAGGAAAGAGCCGTGTTTACACGCGTGTAATTTTAATCTCGAAATCTTTCTATCCTTTATCCCCCTGCTCCCTCCCCCCCCCAAAAAAAAAAAGGCCTCGGAAGGAAAATCGAGACTTTCCTGCTGCACGCGGACGCTCAAAAATGAGAGAACGACAACTTACCATTGCTATACAATAACTGAAGTTTATAATGAATCCCATTGTTAGTTTTTTCATTGTTTGGCTCCTGCAAGTAACGATAAATAATTACATTTAGCATGAAAAATATCGCCCTCCTCCTGCTGCCCATTTTTCTCGTCCCTGAAGCGGCTCGGAATTAACACTTTGCAGAAATTCAGCCCACGGTCACATTATTTTTTTTTTTTTTTTTTTTTTTTCCTGGTGTGGAGCGCTGATGATGTCATTAGCTCGGTGCAAATATGTCATGTTTTGCCGTTTTGCCGGTGTTTCAAATAAGTCGGGGCTAAGTTTTTAACCCCGGGGTCTATTCGGAGCGGCCGTGAGAGCGGGGGGAGCCGCACGTGGCGTGGGCGCCGCTGGAGTGCCGGGAGAGCTGCCGTGCTGGGAATGAGCTCTGCTCCACTCAATTACTCTTGAAAAAAAAAATTTAGGGAAAAAAAAATTAAAAAAAATTTAAGATAACTGGCAGACTTACTTTCTCTTTCTCCACAAAGTCCACAAAAGCTGTTCTCTCAATCTCCACCGGCTGTCCCTGCCTGTCGTACAGAGCTAAGACGAAGTGGAAAAAATTGGATTTTCTGAGATTGGAAGGCGGCTGTTTCTCGAAATGTGCCCGAGCCAGCCCCACGCCGCTGCGGGAGAAAACAAGACAAGGCGTGGGTGAGAGCGGCGGCAAGGGGCGCGCAGGCTCCGCGGCCGCGGGGGGATGCGGGGGGATGCGGGGGGATGCGGGGAGC